TGGACCAAAACAGGGGAATGTGGGAAGTTTAGACCCATAAGGGGGAGTTTCGGCGCTGAAAGGCAGAATTTGGGCCAAAAAAAGGTTGACTGGAAGCTCCCGGAGTGGCCCGGCTGGCTCAGTGATGAGGTTTCTCTTCACTCTGGTTTCCAGCCAGCAGATGTTTGTGGGGTTCACTGATTTTCTTCAGGAATTCCAGTCTTAGCAAGCGAGTAAAGAAATCAGGGGGAGACTCTCTCCCTGTGTCATGAGGTGACTTTACCTTTAAGGTGGTTGTGAGAGCTAAGGAAGCTGAAGTTGCTGGGAACTGAAAGGAGTCTCTTCTCCTGACCAATTATTGGTCATTACTGGGAATTGACAGCAATTTTAACCATTGAAAAGGGAGATCAACTTGTGAACCCTACCTTAAGATGTAAAGTCAGGGCACTTTAGTTCTCTTTGTTTTCTGGCTGTGGAGGGTGGCGGAGCTCCAGGCCTCCCGTTCCCTGCCCAGGCCATGCGGCCGGGCGGGGACGGGGCCGGGCCTGCTGCGGCTCCCGGCCGGGAGATGGGGGGGCCTGGGGAAGGTTTTCCCCGGGCCGGGCCGAGCCGATCTCTGGCTCGGCTGCAGGTTTTGCTGTAACTACATTCACTAGAAACTGCCGAGTGAAGAAAGAAAGGGGCTCTGAACCTGCAGCAAGCAGAGACAGCCACACTCTCCAGAGCAGCTATGAGGAACCTTCCATCACAGACAGCTCCAGCTCCTGTTCGGCAGAGATCTCCGAACCATTTACAAAAGCCTGGGCAAGATTTTAACTCTTTCATTACCCAGATGAGACTTGCAGATTAATCTTTTTATCCAGAGAGAGAAAAAGAGAGTCATCAACATGAAAAGAGACTTTATAAACTACCAGTGACAGGAAAGAAAAGAAGCTTCAGGAAAGGTAGAGAATTAAGAAGATGCTTTAATTAAGCTGAAATATCTTTCTGTTAAAACTATGGAGATGGACAATGAAGTCCTGAAAAGAACTCCTTTAATTCATGACACAGTATCTAGGGAGGAATAAAGTGTTCAAAGTGTAAATTGGAGTAAAAAGTAGAGTAATTATGGTATAGTGAAGTGCTGGGAGATTTGAAGCCTTGAGAGGCAATGAGAAAACTGTTTTCTAGTGAAGCTCACAGAAACAGATAAAGAAGGCTTTTTGTGCCTTTGAATAACTTATCATTAAAAATGCTATCCCTAGGCTCATGGCCCATACACACTTCAGAGAGATGTGAAAATGGGATGAGCGGGCTCTAATAATAGCAGCTCTGGGTAGCTTACATTAGGGCAAAGGAAAACTATAACAAAAATAGTTTTCTTGTGAGAAACTCCATAAATTAACGGGAAGAAACTTCTGTTTCTCTATAAAGACTGGTGAAGAGACGGTAGCAAGAATTGGGACTGTTTTAACCACCAAAGTTCCAAAGTTTTTGTCTCTGTTGTCATGTGAACAAGGGAATAGTGGGTAGATAGGGGATGAGAAGGTTTTTCTAGAAGTTTATTCTGGTGTTCTTATTATTGTAGTTTGTCAATAAACTTTCTTTTCTCTCACTTTTAAGTTGTATGCCTGTTTTGCTCTTGTTCTAATCCATATCTCACAGCAAGAAATAAGTAATTTTCTTAGTTATTGGTTTAAAACCACGACAGGCCCAAAGCACCAAGGATCCATTGTGACTCCACGGAGTGTCATGGAACCGTGGAGACCATTGTGACACTGCAGGGCCTCATGGAACCATTCTGACACCAAGCTGGCTGGGAGTGTGGATGTGCTGGAGGGCAGGAGGGCTCTGCACAGGGAGCTGGACAGGCTGGATGCAGGGCCCAAAGCCAACAAGGTGAGGTTGAACAAGACCAAGTGCCAGCTCTTGCACTTTGGCCACAACAAGGCCTGCAGTGCTCCAGGCTGGGGCCAGAGTGGCTGGACAGCGGCCAGGCAGAAAGGGAGCTGGGGCACTGATGGACAGCAGGCTGGCCATGAGGCAGCAGTGTGCCCAGGTGGCCAAGAAGGCCAATGGCCCCTGGCCTGGATCAGGAATGGTGTGGCCAGCAGGAGCAGGGCAGGGATTCTTCCCCTGTGCTGGGCACTGCTGAGGCCACACCTCGAGTGCTGTGTCCAGTGCTGGGCCCCCAATTGAGGAAGGCCATGGAGGGGCTGGAGCGTGTCCAGAGAAGGGCAACAAGGCTGCTGAGGGGTCTGGAGCACAAGTCCTGTCAGGAGTGGCTGAGTGTGGTGGGTTTTAGCTCCAGCTAAAATCACCAGAGTACTTCCTTCTTTCTAGCGGTGAGATATGGATTGGGAGAAGGACAAAACAGGCTTAAAACTTAAAAGGAATAAAGAAACTTTATGGTCTGATCTACAAGAATAAGAAACAAGCATAAAAGCTTTAGAAACCTTTCCTGCCCACCCTCAACTTTTCCTTTCCCAAGTGACACGGCAGAGACAAAACCTGGGATGTTAAAGCAGTGCCAACTATACAATAGTCTTTTCATCAGTCTGTGCAGGGAGAGGAGTTTTCTCTTGTCATGCCATGGAGAGTTCTCCACAAGAAACAGTTTTCTTGTGGCTTTTCATTTCTACAAATGGCAGTCACCCAGGCACAAACTCTACCCTCTCCTCCCATTTTCACACCACTCTGAGGTGTGTTGATGGGCCATGAGCTCAAGGGGTATAGTTTTCGGGATGAGTTATTCAAAGGCAAAGGTTCTCTTCATCTCTGAGAACAGAGGTTTTCTTCTTCTCTCCGTGGGGCCAAAGGGTCTTCATCAGCT